GCTGAGGTGGCGTTCGTGGATGAGTCATGTTCCCATTGCGGGAAGATGACCATCTTGGAGCTGCGGACCAGGCTTCACTACCTCCAGGGGGGGTGGAGTTCCGTTGCCTCTGCCGCGATCTAGTGCTCGTTCTGGCGGCAGCCAGGCCAGGACTACTTCCAGCAGTAGCGTGGGCGGTCTGAGGGTTACAGTGGTGGCAAACCCCTCAGGGAACCAACCCTCGGGGGCCCACCACTCCTCCAGCGCTCCGCAGCCAGCCGAGCCGCCGAAGGAACGCGCTGGGCCCTCTTTAAAGAGTGTACCAGCGGTATCCCTCGGGGCTCCTCCCAATGACCGGATGTCGATCGCTGCATTGGAGGGAGAGCTCTCTGGAGAGGAAGATTCGGCTGCGCTGCCGCTCTCCGGGACGGTGGCAATGCCTGAATCGGATTCAGAGATGTCGGCTATGCTTTCCCGGGCCGCAGAAAGGGTAGGGATCAAGTGGAATCCTCCACCACGTCCCGAGCCCTCGAGGTTGGATGTTTGGTTTCTCGGGGTGGCTCGCGCTGGTTCTCAGCACCCCGCCCTGGTGCCTTTCTTCCCGGAAGTGCATGAGGAGCTTACCAGGTCGTGGATAGCACCTTTTACTGCCAGAAACCGGCCTTCTAGCTCCTCCTCCCTCACCACCCTCGACGGTGGTGCAGCGAGGGGGTATTCGGCGATCCCCCTGGCAGTTGTGTCCTAAGACCGCCTCCTCCTGGCGGGGAGACCCGTTGCTCCCTTCCCGGGCCTGTAGGCATTCGTCTGGTCTGACCGTCAGTGTTTATTCGGCTTGCGGGGAAGCTGCCTCCGCCTTACACGCTATGGCGTTACCGCAGGTGCACCAGGCCAAGGCACTGAAGGCAGGCCGCCCAGCCCGTCCAGGCCCCCGCCAAACTTGGCGGCAAGCGGAAGAGCAATCGGCCCTGAGACGGGCGACCCAGAGATGGAGGGATCTGCTCTTCAGGAGATGGTGAACGCACCACTCCCTCCCCCGGAGGAGGGCCAGGTGGAGAATCTTTTGTTTTGTTTTTCCCCGCCGTCGGCCTCACGGTCGACGGTACCCAAATTCTCGACAGAAGAGCAGTTTTCAATATCTCTGGGTCCCAAGAGGGCATGGAGGGTCACGGACGGTTCAACTCCGGACCGCACTCATCCTCCTTTGTCGCCAGCAGGCAGCAGCAGGCGGTTCGAGAGCGTCAACAAAGGCCCTACTCATGCCCCCTCTGCCAAACTGTGGAACCAGGTAAGTGCTGCACCACACACTCAGACCCCTCTTCGGTCCGCTCACAAGCCGTCCGAGTTTGGTCCCTGTGTATCACCTCGCTGCCCCACTGCGGGTACGGCGGTGGTTCCGTTGGTCCCGCTTGCACGGTATCTGGGTGCCTGGCTAGCGCTACCCAGCCCGTCTCGCTGGCTTCTGCGGACCATCAGACTCGGCTATGCGATTCAGTTGACCCGGCGTCCCCCCAAGTTCAGTGGCATCCGCTTCACGACAGTGAAGGCAGCCGATGCTCCTGTCTTACGTGCGGAGATCGCAGTCCTACTGGCGAAGGATTGGCTTATACTAGCACAGTCTCGGGTTCAGTTGTTCGAGCACAGGGATCTGGGGCTTCGGCACCTCAGCCAGTTGGGTCTTCGGGTCAGCTGGGAAAAGAGCAAACTCTTCCCGACGCAGAGGATCTCTTTTCTTGGTATGGAGTTGGATTCGGTCGAACAGACAGCACGCCTCACAGAGGAACTTGCGCGGTCGGTGCTGACCTGCTTGAATTTGTTCAAGGGCAGGACAGCGGTCCCACTGAAACTATTTCAGAGGCTCCTGGGGCATATGGCAGCTGCAGCGGCACTTACACCACTAGGGCTATTGCATATGAGGCCGCTTCAGCACTGGCTTCATGGCCGAGTCCCGAGGTGGGCTAGAACAGGTCTCCAGACATGCTGTGGTTTACACGGATGCCTCCACCACCGTCTGGGGGGCCACGAACGGTCCGAACGGACAACACAGCGGCCTTTGTGTACATCAACCGACAAGGTGATCTGCGCTCCCGTCGCATGTCGCAACTCGCCCGCCACCTCCTCCTTTGGAGTCGGAAGGTTCTGAGGTC